TGAAGTGGCACGCCTGCGACATGTCCTGGAAAGTGCCCTGGGCTCGGCTTCGTCGTTGCGAAGCGACTCCTTAGGTCCTTGTGGCCGCATCGCAGCCGCATAGTGTAGCTGCATGTTTAAAGCTGCATTAAGCTGAGAGGTTTCGCGACGAGATCGTGGGCAACACGGACCCTGCAGCTGCAACCGCGAAGTCTCTGCGTGGGCACTTCCACCGAAACTGGGCAGAGCCGCGGCCACAGTCGCGCCACCGCGCCGTGCCGTCTCGGACTTCAGCAGAACTTCAGCATCATTCAGACGCCTTTTTTTTGGGGGGGGGGGGGGGTATTCGTGGCGTTGAGGCTTGGCTTGCCGAGCCAGCCGCACGTGGGCGAAAATGCCGTGCACGGATCCGCGAGCCCCTTCGAGGCGAGCTTCAGGAAACTTTGCGAACTTTCAGAAGTTTACTCTACTTTGATACAACACTGGACACTTATAAGATTGGACAGGCCTTGGCTGAGAAGAGGAACTGGCTTGGAGAGGACTACAAGTCTGATCCCTTTGGCTCCTTGCTTCTCAGCAGTGGCCAGATGCCCGGAGAGTCTGTGAGGGTGAGAGGTTTGCCGCGAAGCAGCGCCGCAACTCGAGTCTGAGAGGCATCACCATCGAGACCAGCGAGAGGTGGCGCCGCAACCCCGTGGCCGCCCAGCCGCACCCAGCTCTCCCTCCCTCTCCGGCCTCAGAACATGACTCCCTGGCAAAGCCGCTGCGCTTTAAATCCGTCAGAGGTCAGCCTCGACGGACGGTCCGACGCTCTGAAGACTCGAAATTGCGATGAGAAGCTGTCTCGCTCCCTTTCCGTTACTCTTTCTCCCTCTCTCGTGCTTCCACATGTATATATGTACATGTACACGTAAATGTATGGTAGTCCTGTTATAAGCAACATGTCCAACTTATCAGAGAAAGGTTAAACAGCGGGGAAAGGGAGTGGGGGGCTGGTCGCGAGCGGGCTCACGCGTTCAGTCGCCAGGCCTGTGGCGCTCTTCGACCTTTTCGAGAACCAAGCCGTGCCCCTACGAAGCCTCCGCAGACACTGTCTTACAAACACTGTCTTACACTCTGTAGCAGAGTCTATGGGTGTGCGATGGTGTGCGAAAAGGCGTTTTTTCTGTTGATCTGCTGAAATCCGAGGATGCCGGCAAATGCCTGAAAACCGCACGGAAGCTTCAGAAGGCGAAGGCAAATTCAAAGCGAGCAAAGACCGCTGTCCCAACGGTTTTGCCCTTCCCAGGCATCGGAAGCGCCTGCGATCCCTGCGATCTCACGCGCACGCTGATGTCACGCACACGCGCATGAGCTGTGCGCGCGTGGGGCGTGCGCGTGGCGAACAAAAGGGCGCAATGCACAGGGACTGACCCACTGGGCCTAGTCCCAGGCGGATGCACCGGCCACCACAGTGTCAATAATGTCCCGCTCGCCATTGCGATATGCCACGCGGGTGCGAATAACTTGTCGTTACCCGCTGCGCATATTCGCGAGGTGTCGCTCGTAGAATTGCCTAATTCAGCGGAATTTGTACAAATCTGCTTGCAGTCCATGCAGGAACAGTCTGTAAGTCTAGTCTCAAGAGCATGATGATAAAGGCTGTTAAGCTAAAGACGCCGACGTGATGATCCAATGATGCACCGTAGCAGTGGAGACATGTGGAGACGTTAATAGACATAGCATGCACGGATGCATTTGCACAGAGAGTGCAGAAGACGAAGAGCGTCCGTGCTGGCACCTCTGAAGGTGCAGATTTTCAGAAACGGCCCCGTGATGTGGGATTGGGTTTTGGCATGAAGTCATGCCATAGATATGATGCTTGAACTATACAAGCAACTATACACGGCTTGAAACACATAGTGACATCCCCGCAGAATCACCAAGCAGAGCTGGTCTAAGTACAGTGTGTAGTGTGAGCTGGGGCTCGACATTTGTTCCGACACATTGTGTCAATATACTTGCTACACGACCGATTGGCCACTTGGCCGCTGATCGCGCTCTGCGAAAAAAGACTCCGCCCGAGTCCGCTCGAGCTCGAGACGAACAAAGATGCCTCTTCCGGCAAACAGAGACCAAGCGCAAGCGCTGCGCTGGTGATGGAGTGGTGGATGCATGTCCATCCGATTATCCAGGATTTGGCTGCAGATGGGAGGTTCGAAAGCTCGAAAACGCACGCTGGTGTTGTTCTGCAACTCCCCTGAGACATCCCCACATCTCCACTAGTTAAAGCGGCAGCAGAGCTCATGGACCATCTCAATTGCCACTTCCGAGCTTGGCGCGAAATTTCGCCAGATCCAGACTCAGCTGATCGACGCCTTTGAAGCGGTGCGAGGGAAGAAGACAGAGAGACCGCCCGGCATGAGTACATGAATTAAACCCAACCTGACGAGATTGCATCTCCTCATGTCAGTATTTCCCGCTTTCTCCGGCTCTGAAGGGCTTCGGTTGCGATGGGTCCAGTCAAGGAGGGGCTGCTGAGGGGCGAAGATCGCCAGGCCAGGCGCTCCAAGTGGGAAAGGTTGGAAAGTGTTCAAAATCTGTAAGAAGGTGACGCTGTGATACCATCTCTGACAGCACCATCTGACAGCACCCATTTGGTTGAAGTCTCGTTTTGTTTTCCCGATGGCAGGCTTGATGGGATGCTCGGTGAGCTATGGGCCAGCCCGGGGCTCTGGGCTCTTTAAGAGTATCGAAGTATCGAGCTGCAGCGTGAAAGTGGTATAGATTGCAGCAATTGCAGCGATTGTGATGAACTTGCTAATTGCAACAAGGAAGAGATTACTATCGGAGCTGTGACCCAGAAGCGAAAGGACCACTGATACATCTTGTGCTCGTTCATCTGCATACTCTTGAACCGGCTGTTTCCTGCTTTCGTTCTTCAATTCTTTCATTCCCTTCTCAATTCTCCTGAAACAGTGGGACTTGTGGCAATATGGCACAAGAGTGAGTGATGCTAAGTTACTAGAGCGCAAGTCAAACGATGCTCCAATCTCTGCATGGAATGGCCTCCGCCGACCAGCCTCTCGAACAGCCATCGGCCCATGCTCTTTGAATCTTGCAACGCAGTAGAGTTGACTGCACCTCACAGGGCAAGGACAGCAAAAAGGCCGAGTTGGCCAACAAGGACTATCAGGCCCGTCACTTGCGGGGGAATTGGGGGTGGAAGAGGGTGGAATAGGCACTGCTTGGTGCAGAGGAGCGCATCGAGTTCCTGCTTACGGTGCCATTGTTTCAGCGCCTTCCACAGGCAAAGAGCCCCTTGAGCCATACCTTGAGCCATACCTTGAGCCAGAAAGTCGGCGGTCGGCTGTGGCATTCACGGTATACGGGCCGGTGAGGATGAGCACCCGGTTGTCGCCTCCATGTGTGAGGGCTGCAAGTTCAAGCGCAGTGACCTGATCATCAAGCCGCCTGCCCTGAGAGCTTTTCGCTTTTCCTTTCTTTTGCCTTCTCAGTCTCTATCTCTCTCTCTCTATCTCTTTCTCTCTCTCTCTGCCTCTCGCTCTGTCTGTCGCAATGCACACGTCTTTGTTTTTGCCTGCCTTGTGTTTTCGCACGGGCGCCAGAAAAAAAGCAAATGTTCGGCTCTTCGAGGCAAGGGGCGCGTGGGGAGGAGTTCTACGTGATCCGCAAAGGCCAAGCGGAGGTCTTCGCGGCGGCCCTACGGTCACAAGGGGTGACGCTCACAGGCGTTTGTCACAACAAGCAGAGGGCGAATTCTCAGCGTTCGAGTTAGACGAGAGAAGGCCATAATTGTGCCATAAGGCACGTGGATCATGTGTGGTCCAATCGTCTTCTGAAAGCAAAGGTCTTCATAAACTACAGTTCCGTAGAACGGACAAGACAACAGAAGCAGGCAAATGTTGATCGGACTCAGCATGGGACCCACACTGTAGTTTGGCTTGTGATGTTGTTTCGCTGTGGCTCTCCAAAGGTCAAGAAAACCAACGGCCAGAAAGAGAAGATAGCCACGCTGAAGGCGTGCCGGGCAGCGAAGATCAAGAGCCATGTCGTCATGTCATGCCGCTCTCATGCTTCCAGGCCGGGGACCACTTTGGCGAGGGCGCACTGCTTAGGGACGAGCCGCGTGCAGCCACCGTGGTCGCCATGCTGTGGGCTCAGCCGTGTCTGAAGATGGGCAGAGGGAGGGCAATGCAGGATGCAGGGCAAGGAGGGAAAACAGGAGGGGGGAGATCTCTTGTCATCGCTGACTGGGTCTCAGGACCGACATGCATACCCTCAAGATCAAGCGCTCGGACTTCCAGGCAGGGTGCGGGGTCAAGAGGGAAGGAGAGGACGGAGTAGACGGAGTAGACGGAGTAGACCTTACTTTGAGAGCAGAGATCTCCAGAGCTTCCTTGAGGCTTGGGCATTGGCCTTTCAAGGCTCTCTCTCTTCTGACTCCCTGTTAACATTCTCTGGTTTTGAGAGGCCCTGGGCCTGCACCAGAAGCTGAAGTTCGGCCGCCGCGCCGCCGTGAGCTCGGGCAAGAAGTACGCCAAAGCCAAGGACTCCAAAAAAGGCACACAAGAAAGACAAAGACAAAGACAGACACACACACACACAACCAACACACAACCAACACACACACACAACCAACACACACACACACACAACCAACACACACACACACAACCAACACACACACACACACAACCAACACACACACACACACAACCAACACACACACACACACAACCAACACACACACACACAACCAACACACACACACACACACAACCAACACACACACACACAACCAACACACACACACACAACCAACACACACACACACACACACCACACACACACACACACACAACACACACACACACACACACAACAACACAACCACACAACAACACACACACACCCACACCACACACACACACACACAACCAACACACACACACACCAACACACACACACACAACCAACACACACACACACACACAACAACACACACACAACACACACACACCCACACACACACACACACCCACACACACACACACACACACACCAACCACACACACACACACACACACACACACACACACACCACACACACACACACACACAACACACACACAACCAACACACACACCACAACCAACACCACACACACACACACACACACACACACACACCACCACCACACACACACACACACACACCAACACCACACACACACACACACACACAACCAACACCACACACACACACACACACCACACATACACACACACACACACACACACACACCACAACCAACACCACACACACACACACAACACACACACACACACACACATACACACACACACACACACACACACACACACACTCTCCCGTGCGAGGACCCCGTGCCGAAAACGCCGGAGGACATGAAGCTCATCACGCAGGTCCCACCTGGGGTCCGCACCGTTCTTTCGCGCTGCTTACTTAATGGCTATCGCCAGTGCCTCTACCCAAGAAAGGGTAGAGAGGTACGGGGTGCGGGGGGTGAGGAAGTAAGCTGGTAGGATCGAAAACACAAAGGCTTCACTAACACCGACCCCGTAAGGTCGGCGGATAAGACCCTTATGAAGGTCAGCTCAGGAGAACGCGCGAGAGCGTGAGAGAGCATGAGAGAGCGCGAGCCAGGCCATCATGTGCAATGAGAACTTGAGCGTCATCGGGAACCTTGAAGAGAAAATCCCGGCCCTGGCAGCAGTGATGTGGAAGGAGTCAGTTTTTTGCCTCTCTCGTACGTACTAGGTCATACTACAAATACGTATCAATACGTGTAAAAGCGTGCTGTCGTTAAATGGCATCTCTTGCGCAGTGATGTGACCGCGCAGAGCCAGGAGTTTGTGAAATCCGGACGGAACGTCATCACGGAAGGAGACGTGCAGGCCACGGCCCACAGGGGTTTGGTGTTTTTTGCTCCTTTTCGGATGTCCTCGCCAACTCTCCCTTCTTCATCAGTTTAAACCCCTGCAGGCCGACTATTTCTACATCGTGCACGAAGGAAAATGCAACCCGTCGCAGAGATTTCTGGGCATCGGCGCAGCTTGTAGTATTTTGTAAATCAGTGTCTTATGAAACACGAGCAGTTAATTTCCTTTCGCAACTCTGAGGTGAGGTCGTGATCAAGGCGCGGCTCTGCCCTGCCTTCGTGGACAAGCGCATTCGGATAGCACGCTAGCGAGAGAGGGAGGGCGAGGGCGAGAGAGGGAGAGGGAACAGGGGACAGCGAAGAGAGAGGACAAGGATGCTTACGACAATCGGAAGTTTGGGGGGTCCAAGATTGCCTGCTGCTCAGAGATCGTCTCTTGAACTTGGCTGTCACTGGTGCTTTGCTGGGGTGGGGGTCAGGGTTGGGAGGGGGGGGGGGGAGGGTCAGCTTTGCTTTGGAAAGCGATATTTCGCCGACGCATGCCGAGCGTGTTGAGGGTTTTGGGTTTTCGGGGCTCGCAACAATCCCAGGGACTGGGCCACATTTACCTCAGAAGTCAATCTCGAGCAGAGGTCATGGGCGTCTACAAGCGTGGCCGGGATCTCATATAGGACTAGAGGACTGGACGATCATTGCATCCCCAAGTTTCAGATGCTTTAGATACCTGTATGCATGTGAGCAAGCTATACACCTATCAAGCATATATACGTAGGCATAGTGCTTCACACCTCGCTGCTTTTAGCACTCTAAGCTGGCTCTTCGACATGCTCCGTTGCCTCAACAGCCTCATTTTTTCTGTATCGGTTTGGTTTCTGGGCAATGGAGCAGCCGGCAAAGAAAGCCAAGACGGAGTTCTTCCCGACAATCTCGAAGATTCGCTATGAGGGTCCGCAGAGCGTCAACCCTTTGGCATTCAAGTACTACCAGCCCGATGAAGTGGTCCTCGGCAAGAAGATGAGGCCCGCCGCCGCATAGCGTGGCCGCATGTACCAATGTACTACCGCTGTTTTAGGCCTCCGTGTGGATGTCATAGGGCCTTTAGGGTTTTCTTCGGGTGCAGGTAGACATGTTTGTGGAACAGGGAAGACATGTTGGCAAATGTCGCACTGGTGCACTGGTGGCAAGTTCTATAGTCGGGACCACATGAGATGGAATTGCGTACGATTGATCACCTTTGTTCGTTCCGGGGTTTGAACCGCTGTTTCTCGCCGCGTTGCTCTGCCTTCCTCCGTTGATACCCAAATCAGCCCAATTCGGGGTAGTCCTAGCTCGCCACGAACTCCTGACATGTTGAGACAACTCTTTGTTCTATGAGGGTCCCACAGGTGCTTTCCACTTGCAAGGCGGGAATGCCTGCATCCTAGCGAGAAGGAGAGAGTGAGCCTGGATATCTGATATCACCCCCTGAGTTTCTGGTTCCGTTGACTACCCCAAATGGGGGCATGCGTGTTGCGCAGGGGGGTTTGTCCCCTCGAGCCCCAGGAAAGAAAAACCATGGAGGGTTTCTTCAGGGGACAAAGTCGAAGCCATGGAGCGCGAGGATGTTTGGAGGCAGAAAGGATGGACCATCAACCGCCCACCGCAGAGGGCACACATGGCGAGGCGACTGAGAGAGAAGGCCCAGGAAAAGTTGCAAGCCGAGATGATTGCCAAGAAGACCGACAAAGAAAGCCCAGGTAGAGGCGACAAAAAAGCAGCCATCAAGGGGGAGGCTATCGCACCCCCCGAAAACCTTTGGGGGAGAACACGGGCCAGCCGGTAGTGAAACCTGAGAATGAAGTAGCTCCGTGCCCGCAAAGAACCCCCTTGTGACGACACAGCAGCTCCAGGCCACTGTTCTCGTCCTCCCGGGGCGCCTTTGAACAGAGAGAACGGGAGGGAGAAGGAGCAGCCACCAATCGGGCCAGTTCTGAAAGTCGTCGTTGAGGAGAACCACGCCGAGCCGCAACAGCACCAGAACGTGACCAGCCGCACGGAAAGACGTGAGCGCTGTGAGAGCTTGCAATCTGGGGCTGCAGCCCCATGCAAAATAGGGTGTTGGCTTCGGGTGAGGATTTTAGACGTTCCGACCTTTCACCTCAACTGTATTTTATAACAAGTCCGTGTACGGCTCAGATAGTCGCGATGCATCGGTCACGCCGAGTAGTTGCCTTTCAGAAACTCCTGGGGGTGAAGGTGTGGTCGAAGCGGGGGGTTTTCCCGGTGACTACCCCAACCGGGGGGCGCGGACCGCACGCGGGGGCTTGCCCCATCAAGCCCCCAACAAAGACAAAGACAGGAAGAATATCATAGAAAGGGGTTCTCGTCGGTTCCACCCCGTTTAGCCGTGTTAATTGGGGCGGCTCAGGGACTGGTGCCGCTTTGCGGTGAGCTGGTGGCACACCTTCAACGGCCAAATGGGCACGGATCCCTTTAGCAACGTCAAGACGCACCTGAGACCCTGGGACGTGGATGGCTCGCTGGAGACATTCCTGACCCGCGTCGACGTGGCCTTCGAGTTCTTCACGAAGCGCCTCGCCCCAATTTTTGTGGCTAGTCTTGAAGTGCACAGGTGTTCTACCGTTACTTCGGGTCTGTCGCAGTCGAGAGTCGAGAGTTCAAAATAAAGCAGGATTGGGCTTAAATGGCTTGTGAGGGTGAAAAGATATATGTTCATAGAGCGCCCCGGGCTGGTGGATTGGAGGTCGGCATGGGAGCCGAGAGGCGAGGCGAAGTTTAGCTCTCAGCCTGTCAGCTCCCTGTCAAGCCCGGAGTTCTGAGGTTGGGGGTGGACTACTACTGCTTCCACGACGTGGACGTGGCACCGCAGGGCGGCAGCCTTCAGGAGCCAGAGATTCGAGTTGAGTGGATAAAAGGCGGGGCGGGGAACAAAAACCTAGGAAACAAGCACATCAGGCTTAGGGAAGAAGGAGGGCAGGGAAGATGAGAAGAGGGGAGCGGGGTGAGGCTGAGAAGAAAGGAGACTAAGACAAGACCAAGACAGGAGTGGGACGAACACTTCTGAGTGGTGTTGCTTTGGATTGTTTTCGGAGCTGTTTTGGATCACTTCTCAGACACTCTGGACCGTGGGCCGTGTGGAGGAGTTCCAGAAGAACTTGGACACGATCTCGGACAAGCTTCCTGTCGGCATCTGTCGGCATTCTGCTGCCTTACGCTCAAACTCAAATTTGTCAGTTTGCCCGCGCCAAAAGCCACAAAGCTCTCAACGCGTGCCGTGTCAACTGGCACGAATAATCGAGGCTTCTGGCGAAGCAGAAGGAGACGGGCATCAAGCTGCTTTGGGCCAAGACCTCAGAGTGGCCCAGCGAGGCTTACGAGGCTTACTGCACTGTTGCACTGTTGCGTTAGCGATATACTTGTTCACGAGCTGAAAAGCTCGCCTTCCTCTTTTGGCCTTAATTGCCAGCAGTGCTGCCGAGTCCACACAGAACCTCTTCTCGCACCCGCCGTCAGCCCAGTTGTGGTTACACGTGTTACACTCATGGTTCTTCCATTGATGCACTGACTGTTTCTCCTTAGACTTGCGCCAATAAGGATTGCATAAGTCGCCCGCCCAACCCAGATTGAGTCGTTGCTTCTGACATTAATGTTCCGGCACAGGCAAGTAAAGTTTTTTGGCTGTGTGCTGCCGCAGACGCATTGGCGGAGCTGCTTGGTACGGTGTTTTCTTGGCGCTCTCCATGGATCCATGCGACCAAGAGGTATGCACGCACATTTCCTCCATATCGATACGCCGGCGCGGTCAAGGGACAATACAGGTAGTCCGCATTTGCCTTCACAATCAAAGAAGCACTACACACCTACCCGTGTGGCCTCAAAGTACTCAAACCGCAGCTGAAAAACACCCTTGTCTAGCACGGGTGCTCCTTACTTCCACTCTCTCCGCCCACTTTGCTGGCAACTGCTTTGTCCTTGGACAGCTTCGGATGTACAAGTCGCCCCTATAATCAGGGAAATTCTGACGTAGATCAAAAGGTGACTGATGTGGAGCATTGCAGACCTTAGCGTCGGGATATTTATGTCTATAGTCAGTATCGGGGATGTTCAGTCAGATATAGGGCTCATGCACAGCGAGCTGAAACCCCAAAGGACCGCCATGGGTTTCAATAGTACCCAAGGGGTGAGGCAAGTTCATTGGGAGGCCCAGGGTTTTGTCGTGGGCAACAAATGGCAGCAATACTTGGCTTGCCTTTCCCGGTGCGTTCGACAGGGTTTTGACACGTGCCTAGGCGCTACAAGGACGGAGCTGCGCGGCCCTTTGAAGTTTGCCTTCTCTCCCTGTCTCCCTGCATGGGACTCAGCTTACTCTTGCTGGACATGGCATTGCTTTGCAAGGCCACGGCTCCTACCTTCGACTCCTTTGCCTATGGCTGCGTGCCTTAGCATGAAAGACTTTGGACAATGACCTAATAGCACGCTTTGGGTGTGTTTTACAAAAGGTTTCAGGTTTAAATTCTGCGTCGTCCTCCGACGTGACAAATGTTGCTCTCGCCTTGGTCCCGTGCGTCGTTGGAAGGCCTAGTGGTCTTGCGGAGTCTTCGAACCTATATCTGTGTGCCGAATCACGCCAGCAGAATTGTGTATCTCAATGTCGTTTCTCGGATTGTCTCGGTGTCTTTGCGGTCTTGGCGTGTCTGGCGAGCATCTCCCTTTCTGTCTGAGGTGTGTGCGTGTGTGCTTCCGCTGTTGATGTTCATCTGTTGCACTTGCATCATCTTCTAGCAATTCCGCTAGGCCCGCCGGAGTTGTTAGATTCAGTGTGGCGGGTCCTGGTGGGTGTCTCCATGTTTCGCTTCAGGCGCAGACCCGCAAGATGCTGGAGATTGGGAAGAAGCTCAGTGGTGAGACGCACGTGTTTTGGGGCGGGCGCGAGGGCTTCGCCACTGCCTTGAACACGAAAGTGAAGACAGAGCTTGATCATATGGCCACGTTCCTGCGCATGGCAGTGGCCTACAAGAAGCAAATCGGATTCAATGCGCAGTTTGCCATTGAGCCGAAAGCACGGGAGCCCACGGCTCACCAGTACGACTACGATGCCCAGACTGTCATCGGCTTCCTCTACCAGCATGGCCTGGAAAAAGAGTTTAAGGTGAACATTGAACCTAACCACACCACGTTGGCTGGACACGACTACGTCCGAACCTCAGCAATTTGACCAGATCAGTGCAACAAAGCCATTGCTTTTCCAGGGCTATTTCGAAGAGCCGTGTACCGTTTCCTCGATACATTGTGCCATACCAACACGAGAGGGTAGTGACGGGCAGTGACAGGTAGTGACCAGGTAGTGATTCTTGTGCTCTTCTGCGAGCAATGTAGACACGCGGCCAAGCCACAGAACCCCTGATTTAGCTGAAGCGCACCATGACGATCATGGTGTTCAGGAACTCGACAATTTGCAACCTCAGAATTCAGAAAGCCTGAGTCAGGCGGCGTGTGAACAGCGAAATGCACCATTGTGACATCATCGTTGTCGAGGCCATGACGGAAACAACAGCATGAAGGGTACTAAGGGGGCCGAAACACTGCGGGACACTGATCAGGCTTCCCACTTGCATCCACAACTTCGTTGAGTGTGGTAGGATGCAAGTGCCCAAACCGAAACAAACTTGCGTGTACCGAGAGCGATACCCAAGAACCCTTAGCTTAGAATCAGGGCTTCCACACACGCACACATCGCTCTCGCTCTCGCTTTCTCGCTCTAAACGAACCCGCCACATGTCCATGCGTCACACCGCCATACCCGGGAGGAGGGGGGGGTGTGTGTGTGTGTGTTCCGCCCCTTAAATAAAGCCCAAGGGCCCTCCTGTCCTTTGTTGTCCTCCCTGGTTTTTTTTCGAGGAACACGATCTGCGGATGGCGTCGGCCTTGGGCATGCTGGGCTCCATCGACTGCACCTTAGGGCGAAATTGTGGCGTAAAATTGTGTTCAATTGCAGTGTTGCCTGCAGTGTTTACTCTGCGCTTTTCAGCTCTCTCTTTCTCGTGCTAGAAATGAGCTAGAAATGAGAGTGTATACTAAGTGTGCGAACAAAACCCCGGCCTCGGCTATAGTTCTGGAGAGTATACTCCCGTTTCTGTTGAGAAGGCTGTCGCAGCTTTGAGTGCACCAGAGTCCCAGAGGCAATGCTGGGCAGCCATATCTTGGATGGGACACGGACGAGTTCCCATCAGATCCGAGGTTCGCGCTTGCCCGAATTTAGTCGAAATGGACGATCCACGACGATCCACTATTCCCCTGCTTCCAATTGTCCAATGGCATTCACTCACCTGAGTCAGTAGCTGCATTCCTGCATTCTGGTGCTTCCGTCTGCTCTCTATGCCAGACTTTATGCAAGCTTCGGTGCAACGAGCACCCGAACTTTGCTGCTTTCCAGCCATGCTCCTCTGCGCCTGCGCACTTGTCTGAAATGCCCCTGACGTAGTGCGTGTGCAGGAAGGCACTTCTGAGCATGCTGATCGTGGTGCAGCAGGGCGGCATTGCGCCAGGGGGCAATAACTTTGATTGCAAGTTGCGACGAGAGAGCACCGACATCGAAGACATGTTCATCGCCCACATCGGAGGCTCGAGAAAGTTGCGAAAGTCAGCGGGGCTCAGTGGGGGCTCAGTGGGGGCTCACTGGAACACCAAGGAGCCGATGGTTGTGCTGCCGTGTTCTGTTGCGTTTTCCCTGTTCTGAGGGATGGACTGTCTGGCTCGCGGGCTGATTGGCGCCTGCAAACTCGTCGAAGAGAATCTCCTGCAGAAGGCGCTGGACACCAGGCGGGAGCCGCGCGGAGCGCGCATATGGAGTAAAAGAGTCCTGCGCATGCCTCTGTTGAAGTCTTGCAGAACGCCCATGTCGTGTTCAGGTATTCGTCCTGGTCAACGAACCCTCTTGCAAAGAAGGTAGAGGAAGGGAAAGCGACTCTGGAGGAAATCGAGGCATATGCCCTAAAGGCACCAGAGCCGGCCACAGGGAGTGGCAAGCAAGAGTACCTCGAGCAGTTGATCAACCGCTACATCTGATTGCCGTGCGTTTCAAGAAATTTTGTGTCAGAGAATGAGGCAAATTTGAGATCATTTGAGCATCTTGGATCCTTTTGTTGATTTCGTGCTAAGTCTTAGTGACGATACGTGCCTCCACAGCAGCTCAGTGCTGTGAGATTTCTGCGTTGAACAGCGCGGAGCCAGGACGGAGGAAAGGCGGCTACAACGCCGTAGCAAGGCACAGAAAAGAGCCGCTTTCATGGTTTGATTGTAAGGCCTCTTGAGTCCCTATAGGGAATCCTTTAGGAGTTAGAATCCTATGCCTGGGGCCCCTTTTAAATTGAAGCCGCTAAGCTAACGCCGCGCGAGCGACCCACTTGAGGCCAAAGCTTTGGGGAGCTTGCCTTGCCTCTTGGCAGCAACCTTTTGCATGTTTTGCATGTGAGAAATAGAAGCCTTGCCGTTTTTTACTTGGCCTATAAGGCCGACGCAACCTCCAATATAACAGCATGATGAATGTTTTGTTCACTGCAACTGCGTTTGTACTAGATCGTCACCCAACGAAAACAAGAAGAATTCCACAGTGGTAATGATGGGTAGTAGTAGTTAGTAATGGCAACAATGATTGTCAACAGATGAAAATTTCATGGTCATGAGAAGAACGACCATAATCTTGCTCGTCTTCGATGCTTGGGTGCATTTGATTTGTGGTCAAACGCCATTGTTTATGACCACGACTACCATAATTGCTACTGCGACGATTCAAAATGTTATTGTGCCCGTTGGAAACTCTTTGCTATCGCTAGTATTGTTGCCGCAGCTACTGCTGCTACTATGGCTACGACAACGACGACAACGACTACTACTACGACTACCACCACCACCACCACCACTACTACTACTACTACTACGACGACTACTACTACTACTACCACCACTACCACTACCACTACCACTACCACTACCACTACCACTACCACTACCACCACCACCACCACCACTACCACTACTACTCCTACTACTACTACTACTACTACTACTACTACTACTACTACTACTACTACTACTACTACTACTACTACTACTACTACTACTACTACATCATCTGCAGGCCAATGCAAGCAAAAAAACAACCATGTCCGCTCCAATTAAGAAGACAAGAGACTAAAACAATAGTGAAACCTTGATAAGGTTGTGTCAGAGCCTGCTTAAACATGCAGGCCCTTGCGAGGTGGGGGAAGGAGCTGCGTTCCACAAGAATCTGTCAAGCATCTCTGTAAACGATCAATTTCGGCAGAGATGCCGGAGGGCCGAAGGAAGGCAATGAGGGACTCCGAAGACGTGGCCTTCACACGTGTGCGTTTGCAATCGCATCTGCATATAGATGGCCCATGGTCCCTCCAAGTGGGCGCAACTTCGGCCACGTGTAGATTCTAATCACTATTCTGCCTTCTCTCTGTGCGTCGAGACACATGAACACATGACATGGCCGCATGGTTGAGTCCGTTGATGCCTCCCGGCAATGCTCAGGCTCTACTGCGCCCCGCGAGCCGCATCCGTGAGGGTGTGGACCAATAGATTCACGCCGTGTTGGCATGCTGGATTTTCTCCTGATGTCAATGAAGGCCGTGACAAACGCGGTGCTTTGGGCCCCTGCCTGATCCAGTGCACGATGGAGATCTGCGTTTGTTAATGCTTGGAAGGTCATCGACCGGGCGCACTTCAAGGAAGTCCTCCTCCAGGTTCTCCATGTTCCTCCGATGTCATCACTCTGCCACTCTGCCATCGGTGTCAGGGCATGCCTCCCCCTATCAGGCCAGTGCCAGGAAGCTCGAGGAGTACCGAGGCAATGAACAGACACCGACACAGATACAGCACATCTACATCTGAGAGTCGCGTGGGGGTTTTGAGGGAAGCTCCATGGAGGCTACCTCGATGCAGTGCCGCTTCTGCCCGGGGGCTCATGAAAAGGCTTATAAGCATTACTCTGAGGAAGCAGCCTTCCCCGTCGTTATCGTGAAACGTATTGGCAGAGGAGAGTTTGCTCAGAGAGAAAGAGAGAGAGAATGTATTCAGAGTGTGAGCCGCGAGGTCGGCGCTGCTGAAGGAGGAGCGCCTGGAGCTGGCCGAGGCATTCGAAACACGGACAGCGCATCTTCTTCTCGCAGTAAAAAGACAGGCACTAAAACCATGTGCTAAAAAAATCAGGTAGTGATTTTCAGGTGAGTTCAGGTGTGCGGCACCTCAAGACAAAGTCCTTGCTTGAGGGGGGGGGGGGGCAGGGTGGCGCAAGGGATCAGTCTGGAAAAACTAGGTGCCAACAGGAAATGGGCCTGCCGTAAGATGTCTGAAGCAGGCGCTGGTGGAGATGCACTTCTACGAAGGCTCAACTCGAAGTTGCTCCTCGCAGTCGACGCTTTCTGTGGCCGTCCAGGTGAGCAAATCATCACGCAAGGAGAGACCGGGGCCACGTTCTACATCATGTTCTCTGGCACCGTGGATGTCTACAAGGACTTGCAAAGCTTCTTGAATCTGGCTTTGCTTTGGCTGCCGAGTTGTGCTGATGTTGAAAGTTCCGTGTTTCCCCATGAGTGCCAGGACGACATGAAAATCACCACGCTCGAGGTGCAGCTAGCAGGGCTAGCAGATGTCACAGATCTGTGGAAGATGCGGGCCTATTAGAGAACGGGAGGCCAGCATGGCCCGCCGCACGACCCAATACTTTGGAGAGTTTGCCTTGACCGGAGCCCCAGCCGTGCAAAGTGCACGTGAGCGCCGCAGCGGTGTGTTCAGCGTCGGGCTATATGCGGCTATATGATACTATATGCATAGCAGCCTGCAATTAGATTGGAAGATGAGAAGCGGGCTGCGACCGTCAAGGTGGGCTCTTTACGAGTTAGTCCTCAGGATGTGGGGACCGAGCTAGGCACGTCGTTTGCGCTTTCGGAGGTCACCTCAGCGTCGGTGCGATGCTTGGTTCTGGACCGTGAATCCTTCCAAGCCCTGCTGGGCCCGTTGAAGGCGCGCGGACATCCGCGGACATGCACAAATACATACAAATACATTTCATAGAACAGAAGCACACACAGAGACACAGAGACATACAGACACACACAAACACAGAGACACAGCGACACACGGACGCACGGATACACACACACACACATACATAGGCAGAGACACAGAATCATCTCTGCAGGAAATCATTGAGAGCCAGAAGTCGAGGAGGCAGACGGATCGCTTCAGCCAACATGAAGAAATGCGGGAGCCTTAAGCAACTCAGCCTTCATACAGTTTATCTGTCGCACAGCCGGGATTCAGAGGCAAGCTCAAAGGGGTGCTGCGCTGAGCCCCGACAGGGTCAAGGTCTACAAGCAGGTCGCCATATGCATGTTTCCGCGCTTTCCAACACTTTCCATACTTACAGAAAAGTGCCATCTTGAACATCTTATTCGCATTCTTCCCCAGGACCTGGCATACGTGGGATTGCTTGGAGTCGGCGGGTTCTCAAAAGTGGAGTTGTGGCAACACACAGATGCTCGGTGAGTTATTGGACACGGCCTTGACTTAGAATTCGCCGAATCACATAATCACATGCATTAAGGAGACGGGAGCAACGTATGCCTTAAAGACCATCGACAAGGGCAGCGCTGGCAGTGCTTGGCTCATGGACTCATGGAGCATCTGACCGTGCTCATGTCAGAGATGCCAGGTGTCATTCTGAAGTACAGAATGCAGGAGAGAGCCTTAGAGCCTTAAGTGAGAATGGCTCATGTGCGTGGCTTGCTGATCTGCGTGTCCCAGGAGACAGTTCGGAGTGAGAAGAAGGCGGCTGTCCTGCCATGTACTACAGTACTGTAGTTGGTCTGCAGTATGAGAGCGTTCCATCTTGGATTTCCTTGCTCAGTAGGGGCCATTCGAGCCCATTGCCGCAGCTTTTGCCATCATGCAATCTATGTTAAATGTGCAGTAGTCACCTTACTGATATTCCTTGACGGCGAACACATGGCGGCCGCAGAATCATATTTTCTTGCGGGAGTTTTCACGCGCGACCGAAATGCCCGTTTACTTTCGAGGTTTGAACGTTGAGATCAGCAATCAATACAAGGACAACTGTCACAAGACTGGGCCACAGGTGATGATGATGACTCGCTCGCTCGGCCCTTACTTGCATTGGTCTTGCTGCTTAGATGTTTAGACCTCCACCACGGAACGACCATCCTTGGAAGCGCGAGGCCCTTTCTGATCCGACTCGTAGAGTGCTTCAACGGTGCGAGTCTGAGCTCTGAAGATCTGCTGCAGTAGCACTAGAAGCTCTTTGAATCTCGTGATTCACGAACAGGCGAGGATTGCCTGGAGATCTTGATGGAGGCAGCCTTAGGCTGGGGAAGGGGGGAAGGGGAGGGGAGGCATAGGACGAGGCAAGAAGGTCGGGAGGGAGAGGGCGAGTGCGAAGTGTCCGCTGCAGGGGGAGAGCTGCTGGCCACCTACTCCAGGAGAGCTTTCCGCCCTCCCTTCCCTATCTCCTCAGATTTCCTCAGATCTCCTCTTTTGCTCCCCCTTTTGCTCTCGTTCCTGTATTTACCTCAGTTTTTTCCTCCCCGTGACAACAAAGACTCAGTCGCAGTCGCAGGAAGGGCTTCTGGGGATCGGCCGACCACGCCCGGTACTACGTGGCGTCTCGGATGCTTTCCTGTGATGTTTTTGGAGTGAGAGTGGAAGAGCATCAAAGAGGGAAAGAGAGAGACCCAGCCCTGGAGACCTAGATGGACGCTGAGAGAAAAAGCAGTGAACAAACCTGAGTCAAAGCACCTAAGGCACACAGACAACCAGACCTGAAAACCAGGACTGTTCGGACAGAGACCCACTTGGCCGTCGCGGCCGGGTCTTCCCCACTGGGGGGCCCTAAAGTGCGCAGAAGAAGCAGAAGAAGCAGAAGAAGAAGAAGAAGAAGAAGAAGAAGAAGAAGAAGAAGAAGAGAGAGGGTCACGAATACGGAAGGGACCCAAGTGGAGCAGCGAGGACCGACCAGGCCGTGGATCATCCGAAGATGGGTGAACCGAGACAAACTTGAGCCCCGCCGAGGCCAGTACGAGAGCCCTTCGAGCGACATCCAGTCACGGCAGATGTTCTGCAAGAGCGAGCACAGCGAGGAGATCGACCAGCACGAAAAGATGAACAGCGCGAGAGAGACGAAACGAATCACTCAGAGTGTTCGAGTGGAGCCCTTCTTCATCCAGCATATCGAGGGACCGCGCCTCTTGCCGAGCTTCCCCATTCGGTGCAAGATCAAGGAGAACAATCCACAAGCATGAGCGCGAACACTCCTGCAGCAAGAAGAAGAAGAACAAGAAGAATACGACCATGCAGCCTACGCAAGAACAGTGGGGGACCGATGCCAGGAAGGTCCCAAGCGAGCCACCGCAGCTCATACAGTACGTCGTCGAGAACGAGGACGAGGCATGGTGAGCCCTCAAGAGATGCCTTCTCAAAATTCTACACCTTTGGTGAGGGCGACCCGAGTATGGAGATCCGCGACGATGCGGTGCAACGCAGCGTGTGCAGCAGACAAGATGGACGCATATGGACGCCTTTCGAGGGCTCGGGCATCACGGACCACGGACTACATGATGAGGTGAGAGCTTGGAGCACAAAATGCGGGGACGAAGCCGCGGCCGGGCCTCCTTTCCGCGAGGCAACCGAATCTACATGTCTTTACGACGTGCACTCGACCGTCTTCGAGGGCCGCCAGGCACTTTGTCAGCATCGGCAGGGACATTAAGTGAGCAATGTGTTTGCCAGTGGTAGTGATGGGCCCACGTCGTTGGGGGGGCAGGAAGCGCAAGCACGAGCTGCCCGGTGCCCGGACGATTGAGATGATCAGGGGTGCCTTCAAGGACCAATTAATCACCAGCCACAGATGCGCGAGACCATGAATTAGAAGGAGGGCCAGCTTACTGTGGGGGGAGGGTAGCAGATCGCGTGACGCAGTCGAAGCTGGGGTCACGCAGCAACTCTAGACCACGCTGAACCTACTGCAGAGACTCACAAAGATCAGCGCGCACAAGGAGGGCCCAGCAGAAAGAAGAGGGAAACAGGGAGAGCGAGAGGGAGAGAGAGAGAGAGAGAGAGAGCGACAGCCTTTAGCCTATAGTGGTAATCTCAGAGCTTCTGCTTCGTGAATTTACATGAGCGTGTGAGGTTTGAGGAGCCGACAATTTTGAATCTGTGTTGGCAAGAGAACAGTCGGAAGACGAGTCGCTATCGACTTTTGGGTGAAGGCCGGGAGCAGCCTGGCGTTGGAGCACATGCACGAGCGGCGCATCGTGTACCGGGACCTGCTGAGCTTTTTTGGGGTTTGCGTTGCACTAAATACACAAATATACCAAACGTCTCCCGAGGACCTGAAGCCGGAGAACATCCTCCTGGACTCCTGGGGGACTCAGCCTCAAAATCGAAGCGCGGGGAAGACACCGAGCTGACGGGGCCACGACAGAATGTAAGGGTGTATATATGCATATTAACTACTAGTTGTAAACGCTTGCGCGAGCCGGACAGGAATTGAGGAAAGAGGGTTTTTCGCCTCGCAAAAAGCAAGGGGGCTAAACTAAAGATTCTAGGGGTCCCAGGAGCCCAGATGGGGTCCCAGGCGGGGTCCAGGGGTCCCAGTTTCAGGAAGGGTCCTGGGGTGTCAGGGCCCCAAAACACCCGGCTTCGTGCTTTTTTGGAGCACCCAAAAAGGGGGGGGAAGCATTGGGTCAAAGATCGCGTGTCTGCTTGTTCCAAATGCTTCTCGGTAGGAAGCCGAGGCGAATACTGTATGTATACTTGTACATATGTTATGTCAGTGTACTACATACGCCATTTAGATTCACAATGGGACGCATAAGATCATCTCGCGTCTCGTCGCCGTGAGGCGCTTGAAGCTGACGGACATGGGCCTGGCGAAGCTCGTGATCGGCAAGACGTACACGACGCCACGCCTCCCTGTTTGTGTGACGGTCTTGTGAGGGTCTATGTTGTCATCGCTGCTCCGGTGAAACACACTTCCTTTCCATTTCTCTCCCATGTTGTCCCATACCTCCCCTCGATCAAAAGGTGTGGCACGCCACCGGCTTACAAAGCTTCGGTGTGGGCAAAAGGCTGCCTGTGTTGCTTAGAAGAATGTGCCTTGCCACGTGGTTTGCAGCCAGTGCCGAGGCCGGAGTACTTCGCGCCAGAGGCCTGTGAGGGCTTGCAGCTTGCAATCCAATCGTACTTGGACTGCATCTTTCGGAGCATTCTCAAAGTTCGTACATGTTCTCAGATTCTCAGCAGGTCATCGCGCCGCTCGCCAGCACCGGATTCCTTCCCCCAACAAGGGACACTTCTCTCACTGCACTGCCGCAGGCTCTCGGGCCAAACCACGGGAGTTGAGTCTCAGCAGCACAAGGGGCAAGTTCGCTGTCATTTTCTCGGCAAGTGTGCGACAGTAGACAAAAGAATGAGTAAATTAGGGAGGTCAATTCGCCGATGGGCCGTTAATGATGAACCCGTGCATGTACACGCGATGCCGTCCAAGATGCATGTTGCTGTCTGCAGATTTGCAATATTTGGCTACAGCACGCTAGTAACACGCTAGAGGTTCGGTGAATGTGCGAGAGAAGGGGGAAAAATGCACATAATTTTAACGCTACGCGACCCGCCTCGGCCCGGCCCAGCGCATCCGCGTGAGCATGGTGATTCCGCAGCGCCAAGTCGCTGGACCCCAAGCAACAAGGGTTGGGTTTGGGGTTCCGGGTTTATGGTTCGGGGTTTAGGGTTGAGGGTTAGTTTAGGGTTGAGGGCTTAGGGCTCAAGGTTCACGGTTTGGGGTTTAGTTTTTTTTGGGTTTAGGCTTCAAGGTTCAAGGTTGAGGGTTGAGACGGTTCGGCTTGGATTGATCGTAAAGTTGAGCCAGGCCCCTCAAGCAGGGGGGGGGGGCGGAATGGGGGGGTAGGGGGCTGGGCAGGGGGGGGGGCCTGCTAGGCGGGGCTTCGACTGCGTGGTCGCCAACCGTCCGCTTTCGGATTGTGGTCGCCCACGGGGGGTACCCTTTCCAGGTAACAAAAGGAGGAAAGCCAAAGTCATGCATCGCTTCGTGTAGGGGTGAGGCGAGAATTCCCAGAAGCCAGGGTGTTTGGGGGTGGTTTTTCGGGCAGGCCAGCGGGCTCTCCAAAACTTGTTAGTTTTTTGAAGTGTTTCTTGGCGCCCATGCTGGACGCCCATGTTATGTTATGTCCCTTAAGTTGACATGTCATCGTTTGTTTCTTTCTCTGAAGGCAGATTCGTGAATCTCGTGTGGGCCTTCTGTGAAGATGCAGGGGTAGTACGGGGGAGGGTTAACATTAGCATCACCATGCGAGGACTGGTGGACTCTCGGCATATTCCTCTACGAGCTGATGTGTTCGACTGAGATTCGGGGGGGGGGGGCTTCGTCTAAGCTAGTCAACCCGCTCCTTCCTCCAGCCTGTGACTGTTTTCGTGACATCGGTTCGCACACCTTGTGGCCCTTCGTGGTAATGGTTTGCGACTCATCGGTAACAAGTGTAGCAGCACGGGCAAGCCCTGCTTGGCAGCCTCATGCTGTGAACCGGAGAAGGTCACGTCTCACCATGCGAGCTGCGCCAAGTCGAAGAGATCAAAGCCCCTAGCCTTCGCGCAAGCAACTGCGCGCTTCTAGCGCAAGCCACAACTGCGCAAGCCCAGATGAGCAGAAACAACAATGATTGTGGCTCGAA